CGCGCAGCCAGCAAGCGTGGCTCAGCTGTCGTGAAATGGAATTGTCGTCGACGTCTCTCATCAGCCCAGCTTGCTTGCTGGCTCGTTCCACGCCGAGAAACAATACCGCCACATGTCTTTCGTCCATCTCTCTGGGTCTTGACAGCACGGAAGCCCGCCTCGCACATCGCCAGCAGCTGCGGCCTGCCTCGTGCCCCGAATGCTTGGCTTCGACCTCCACCCTCGGTGCTCTCTCCGACCCTCGACCCAAGGCATCCATGAACCAACCCACACAAGACCCTCGATGTCGATTAGGGAAAGCCAGTCGTCTGGCTCATCAACGATGACTCGACCCAGCAACTGGACAGAGCGCGCCAAATGGGAAGGCTGGGTTTCGCACTTAAAGTGCCAATCGTGGTCGCAATCAAACCAGGCCTGCGAATTGGCAGCAACATGCTTCCTACCCCCATATGGACGGACCACGCTGTAATTTCCGACGCCATCATATCACTACCTCATTCAGCCAACGCGCGCTCCCATCAACTCTACAAGTCCCATGTGTGGCGTGCCCGTGCACACAATCGCCCAGCATATCGCCCAGGCACACGCTCGTTAGCATCCGTCACCTTTCCTGCACCCGCACCAGGAGCCGGCTCCGGCAAGCTTCCTAGCACCACCCAGTGGTCCCAGAAGTCAAGAGAAGACACACACTGGCGTCCGAGTCTGTGTGACGACGAGCGTGCTAGCTGCAGCCTCGCCCACTCCCCGCCAGTTCCCATTCGTCGATACACAACCTCTCGACGTGACCCGGATCCAACAGTCTCTAGGGCCTCGGTCGTCACACCAATCCTGCCAGGCCCCTCGTTCGAATTGACCAATTGCTCTCTGGCCACTTGAAGATCTCTCCGCAGACTCATCTGTCTTGCCGCCTGATCGCAGCGCAAAAGATAACCGGTGACAGGACGGGTGGACAAGCGAGAACAAGAGCCAGCAACCCCGACACCGGGACAGTCTCGCCGAGCCGTGCTCTGTACCGTGTGTCCATGTCTCGTTGCGACGGTTGCCAGCTGCTGTTTGTCCATGATCCATCCCGTGCCTTCGCGATTCCGTCATCCGACGAACCTGGCACTTGGAGTTGCTGCATTCTCCGCAATCCCACGTCGCAGGACAGTAGCGCAAGTGCCTCACCATGGTTGTTAGCACCTTGGTCGGCTCACACAAAGCCCTCGGGAAAATTGTCTTCTACTAGGCCGTCTCTCGAAAGGCCAGGCCGTGGCCAAAGCTCACTTTACCTCAACTTCTGACGGGGGTTGAACGTATCCGCCCTTTGCATTGCAGCTCAAGTTGCTTTTTTCCCTTTCCAATTCGGGGTTTCAACGCGCAGACAAGCTGCATAGCCCGCCGTTTTGCAACGGTCAGGAAGCTTCGGAGCAGCCCCCGCGTGGTTTGGTCATCGCGTCGTTGACCTCGAGGTGGTCGATTAAGCCCCTGAGCTTGATCTCTGTTTGTTAATCCCGGCATACAAGCGTTTTGCGTTACATCCAACGTCAAACTCCTCCCCAGCAATCAGCCACCCCGAACCCCGACGTCGAATCGCTGCGCCTCTGTCCTCAGCACTTCGTTCGAGAAGTGTCTGATCTTTGAATGTCAAAGCTTTCAATGTCAACTCATCGACTACCCAAAACGACTACCTCAACATGCAGCACTAGTTGCAGACGTGCAAGCATCTGCCGTCGACGCCGTCTCCATTACGCCTCGGGTCCCATCTTACGAGAACTTCGATATTGCATCAAGACCAGTTGCGTGTTTGTACGATTCATTCGCTATGAGAACGAGCTAAACTCATGTAACTAGAAAACGACGGCGTGTATCGCGTCCTGCAGAGAGAGCCCCATAACCCGCACGATAAGGCTCGAGGTCTGTGATCTTGACAGGGCCACGCGAATCAGTGGAAAGAACAGATGAGAGGTGATTGACGTTCATGCTCTGCTCATGCTTTGGAGTGCTCCATGACTCGAAACTCTCGACCCTCGAAGTCACATTAAAAACAAAGCCGTTCTCGCCTAAATTTTGTGCCCTCCACGAAAGACGCTGCGACTGGGCGAAGCGTGGGAGATCAAACCGCAAACACCTGGGATTTACCTAGATCACCCTGGAGCCGCATCGCCACTTCGCTCTTACTGCGCGCTGTAAGTGTGACCCCTCACGGCTCTCACCACATTCCCGTGCTTGGCGACAGATGAAAGACAGGGAACCGGGGCTTTGAGGAAGACCTCATGAACAGGCTTCTTCCCCTTTTCCCGTTCCCACGTAATCATCACGGATTTGCCGCAGCTCGAGTGCACACACACACACACACACTGGCAGGGAACATGTCGGTCCTAAATCGGGAAACACACACACACAAATGTTGCCCTGACTCGATCCGCGTGCTTCAAATGTGTTCATGATTTCATTTTACTCTTGCAGACATCGGACTCGGATGAACATGCCGGAAGGCGGCCACAGCATCCCCGAGTGACGGTGTCGTGGTATGCTAAGCGATACCACAGGGCTTTGGCAGACAAGTTTCATCCGCAGCTCCTTTTTGCTGCCGTCTATGGACCGTTCGAGATTTGAAGGCTATCCGCGATCTTCATGGTATCAAGCTTAAAGTACCCCGCTCGCCGTTAACACATTCGGGCTCCCGGGGCTACAACAAACGGACTCCCCTACCTACGCTCCGTGTCTCGAAAACCTCAACCAGACCGGCCCCCATGGCTTCTTCCAAGACCCAGTTGAATTCCAATCCGTAAAACTCCTTCCACCTCTTCGTCCGTCCCGGCAATACTCCAGCAAACTCTCCCCTGGCCCTCCTTGCCAGGCGTGCCTCGTCACGAGCCACGCCACCTTCCCATCTCTCTCTTAGCATAGACACGGGCATCTCCCTAAATTGCGATTTGGACAGCAGTTTGCTCAGGTGTTCCACCGCGGCGGCAGTTAGCTTGAGAAAAGAGCCGTTCCCGGGGACCGCGATGGTGTAGTCGGGAGATGACGTGTCGGCGCGGGACAGCCGCGGTGCCCCTCCCCCACCACCCGCGGCGTGTATTGCTCCTTGCCCGCCCACGGCGTCAAAGGTGCCGGACGCTGCGCGGGACACCGCCTCGATACTCGTCAGGCTGGCGCGCACCTCCGGGCGCAAGTGAAGATTCATCAGTGGCGTGTTCACGTCCTGCGAGTGTATTTTCGCTGTGAGGAACCCTGCCCGCACCAAGGCATCAGCCTGCTTGTAACTGCAGGCAGCCCGCGGCATCGTCTGCGCCTGCGGGTTCTCCTTCAAAAAGCTCAGGAACATGGCCTGCGTCTCCCCGTCGAGCTCGGCGGACTGCGTGATCATCTCCTCTAACTCGGAAGACTGTATAAGCGCCTCGCCGAGCCCGCCGCGACGTTGCACGTAGATCTTGCGAACCACTCCGCCGCGCTGCAACTCTGCGACCTCGCGCTCCACCGCGGTGGGAGAGGCCAGCAGCGCATGGAGATGGGAGACGGTCACCAGCCCCGGCATGGCTTTACGGTAATTAAGCACCTCGGCGATGCGCGTAGAGTTCATGCCCGCCGCCTCTGCGGGGACCGGGCCGAACATGTTGTTGCGGGTGTACCTGATGGCCTGCACGACATCGCGGAGCGACATGTCCGTCGCAAGCGCCGCGACCAACCCGGCGTCGTCAAGCCTGTCATTGAAATAATCATTGCCACCGTCGTCAGAGTCTGCGTCAGGCGGCTGCTTCTTGTTCTTGCCCCCAGCCCTCGGACTGCTGGTGCCACCGTTCTTGCGAGGTGACGAGGCCGACGATTTTGGCTTTGCCTTTTTTACCCGGCCGCCGCCTAATATAGACCGTAGACTCATGTCTCTCTCTCTCTCTCTCTGTGTGTCTCTCCCGGGTGCTGCGCCGCGATCCGATCAGGACGGGATGCGATGGGATGGATCGAGAAAAAGCAAGATAAAAATGGACAAAAAGTTAGAAAAGGGTAGGAGGATGAGGTGAGGATATCCGGGACGCAGTCCGGCGGGGGGTTCCACTTCCGCTTTTAAAGGGCGGGTTGCGTCTGACGCCGCCGCAACGCAACGCACGCCCGCCCGCCTGCGCCTTTCCGGATGTCGATTCGGGTGGATCTTTGGGATGGGGTGGCAAATCCGACGACACGTCCTTTTTGGTCCGGGCGTTGGATTGTGATTGGATGGACCGTTAATCAGCGAGGACCGAACAAGATTCGCGGCTCCAAATTGATGTAGGATCGAAGGTATCGGCTGTTAGATTTGGGTATCATTGAACGAAAAGATGACAGCTTTTTTTTTCCCTTCCGGTTGGTGTCTGCGACCGGATTAAAGTTTTCATGACTGTCACGTTGGCTAAATTGTTATTCTTGGTAATACAGGAAAGAGTTGGGACGAAGGAAGAACACGGTACGGGCGCTTGCTGGAAAACCTTGGGACGAACATCAAACGAAACTCTGGGCGTTTGTCAACAGGAGCACGTGGACGGATGTTATCGAGGCTACTTGGCTTTTTTCGGTGCTTCGTGGCGGTTGGCTTGGTGATTTAAAGAAGGTATATTATTACACGGTCAATTGCGGAATGTCTAGCAATGCTGCTGAGTGCAGTCGCTAGCGAAAACGCATCGCTTCATGCCGGCAAGATGGCGTATCAAACTAGGAAATATTAGGGCCTGAACAGCTCGCGGCGTCGGAAAGATAAAAGAGTAATTCGGACCGATATTGCTTTCTGCTTAGCATGGCATAGAAGCCGGATGGCAAAACGCAGCCGAGGCATGGAAAGGAGGTAATATCACATAATAATATGATGCGTCCTTAACGACACTGATAATCTGGGCACTCTGCAGGTCACCATCGGCAAGTGAAAGCCGGATTGACAATGCCGAACGTAGCAATACTAGCCTTTGTTCGTTGTAAGATTTACGGGATATTTTGGGACATTTGAAGACCTTGAGGCATTCGGGCATTCATAAACCATGATTAATGTCCTATTCGCAGAGAGTAGCCTCCAAACCACACTCCCTCATATCCTCCAGGATCCATTCCATCGGCGTAACATAAGTCACGTTCGTCCAACGATCCTCCAAGTCCCACATAGACCCCGCCGTCACTATCCCGGCGACGCGCCCGTTGAGATCCCAAGCACAAGCACCAGAGTCACCCGCGATGCCGAAGCTCGACGTGGGAGAAAAATTGAGGTACTGTCCATCTCGGCTCAAGACACAGATCGTCAGGGATATCAGGTCATCGTCTTCATCGAGCTCAGTCTCATCTCCTGTTGTTCCTTGGGGAGACTTGGGCCGGTGAAGAATCGACAGGGCCTGGTTCGCGATACCAAAAGTTAAGCCCGAGCCGTGCCCGACTTTGGCTAGGCAGATTGCGCCATGAAGCGTGGGATCTGTCCATTCTTCTGGCTCTTGTATGCTTGCAACTGGCGTGACGCCCCGTAAGGTGTAAATACCATGATCCGGACGCGGGTCGAAAGAGAAGTTCCCGCTCGCGTTGCTCCATCCTTGGCTTTGGTACTTACGACTGTACCCGTGTTCCACGTCATACCCGATCGGCACTTGGTTCTTGATAGCATCTAAAGGTCGTTCATGCTTGTCGACGTCGAGCTTGATGAGCGCCCAATCTGTCGCTCTGCCACTTGAGCCTTGTCTTGTGTAAGCAAGATGGCCGAATGTCCTGGACTCGACGGTGCTTCGGGCGTTGTAAGATCTAAGCATTCCTTCGTCGGCTGCGGGATCACCCCAATGGGATTTCTGTTTGCTTGCTAGACGGTGAGCGAAATACTTCACCTCGGTTTCATAATCGATCCCTGGTTGCACAATAGCTTCACAACTTTGCCGAACCTTCTTCGAGCCAGAGCCCTCCGGTTCTTGGGTTGAAGACGAGACTACATGCCGGCAAGTCAGGGCGCAGACTGACGATGTCTCCACGCCGTTCTCGACAGTCTTGACTCGGAGATAAGGGCCTTTGGTGCCTTGCTTTCCCTGCTGATCAGATTTGGCTATAGTGGCACCGACCAGGTCAGTCAGGTTGTAGCTCGCCTTCCACAGATTGCCTGCGTCGACAACTGTTGAAGGTGGCTGTAGCTTGCTTAGTGGAACCACTTGTGACTCTTTCACCTCGCAAGACACGTCGGTGATTCCATGATCGAACAGTGTGACCACACATCTATCAGCAAACTGTCGTGCCTCTTCTGGCGTCGTGCTGCCAGGCTCGACGGAGACGAAGAGAATCGCCGGGGCATCTTTTTTGCCCTCGTATCCGCATCGGAGTATATCGACTGAAGTCCAGTTTGCCCCTTTGAGTTTGCTCACAACCTGGGACCTCAAAGAGGAGGCGTTGTCGTCATTGTTCCATTTCTCGAGAATGGGGTGGCAGCCGATCGGCATCAGAAACTTGTGTTCTACTGATGGAGGGTATCCCGAGTCCATGTTGTTGATTGGCGGGTTCCAAGTAGGATCGGGGGATCTGGCCAAGAACGTCGGGTTCGATGGCAAGCCTTTGTAATAATGTCTTCTCCGATCTTTGAGTATCCATCTGCGATAGTCTTCCAGTCTTCGGGGAGCTACCTCGCCCAATTCGCATTACACGTCAGGAAAGCCATGCTGGTCCAGTATCTCCTGGCAGCGAAGAACGGCGGCATTTCCCTGCTCCCAATCGAACGAGCCCCCTTCGACCCAAATGGACACGACGAGGACCAGGTCTTTGGTTTCACAGTTGCGTGGGCCCACTCGAAAAACATGAATACCGGACCACTGCAGTCCTTTGAGCGTGCTCATGATCTGGGACAGCGCGTCTTCTGGATCTTTACCACATTTGTTCCAATAATCAACGAAGGGGTGTTCGCTGCCTGTGGTCGTATACTCCCTCCTTCCATTGATCCTCGGTACTGTGGACCCCTGAGATGTAAGCTTGGTGCTCGAAGAGCAGTCATCAGCATTACGCTCTTCAGTCTTGGGTATATCTCCAGGCTCCATCGTGTACGGTTTCTTTTGAATGGTTGCTGAATAGAGCTGACTGTTCAGTTTCTGTTCAGTAAAAGCGTCTTCGTATCCAAGGCCTGGGATGGTGGTGAGATGTGCAGGTGGCTGAAGTAGGAAGCCTTTATTTTTGCGCTTCCTATATTATGTTTGAACTGGAGATCGGAGATGATTGGTGCAGCAGTGAGGAACCTTTTTTTTCTCAGCTTGATGAACGGCGTAGAGTCACATGGAATGCACTACCATGAAATATTTTTGCCCACAAAGCCTAAATCTCTCAAGGTGGAAGAGTGCTGAAAACTCGCTGAAGCTTAAAGAATATTCAAATCACCCTATTGTTCCAGTACGTAGCATGCTGTCCATTCGATGCCTCGCCAAAATTGCCTCTTATCGATTGTAGTAGGCTGGCCGGTTCTGGGCATCTCACCTAGCTAAATTTGTAAACACGACGGGTCCACGATCCGATCTGGAGCCGGTTGAGATACCTGTGCAGAAGGCGGAATAATCGTCAGTTAATACATAACACAGAATTTCCCGTTTCTGTAGACTAGGTGCATGACTTCTGGATGCCTTTTGTGCTAGGGAAACATGGAAAAACACTCACACATACAGGAAGACCTTTGCTATTCGGACAGACAGGGACAACAGGGTCGATCAAGGAGATACCGCCAAGGACAATAGAACAGCCAACAGGTTTGTTGAAGTACGAGTTTTTCTTAGCCCAAATATCCCCACGGACGGCAAAATGTCACCACAAGAACAGGAACACCTTGGCGCTGAGTTAATCGAGATCATGTTATCAAACATTTCACATATTCGAAGCCAACAAAGCAGATGTAATTGAGCTTGTCATTTTCCAAACTTCACCCGCTGTCGGAGAGTATGGCCACCTCTCATGTCTAACATAGATAGGTACTTTTTCTGCTACTTTTGAAAAAAAAAGAGCGCCTCGCTTATGATGACTTCCCAAGTCCAACCCCCTTTTTGACATCCTGGTTTTTTTTGTATCCATACGAACTCCAGCCGATAGTAGTAGTAGTCAAGAAAATTTGTGTGAGCACACGTCCCCTTATCCCGCCATAGTCAGGATGTACGACGTAATAGACGTCATACGCTCGCTCGTCAGTTTCAGCGACATTCTGAGCAACTCCTGCGCGACGTCCGGCTGGTCTTTCTGCAGCCGCTCCCATCCCTCCTTGTCCATCCTCCATACCACGCAATCCCTGTCCACAGTGACCGTAGCTGTACGGTCCGTCTCCGAGAAGAAGGGAAGCTCGCCGCACGTTGTACCGGCGACGATGCTCTCCGTCAGTGAGCCTTGGGGCAGGTCGTAATCACAGCGAAGAATGCCATGCTCAACCAGGTAAAAGCCCTTTGCGACTTCACCTCTCTTGAACAGGACGGTGCCTGCCCTGTACTCCTTCTTGACAAAGTAGCCAACAGCTCTGAACCAGAAGTCTTCGTTCTTCTCACTCAAGCCCTGGAAAATTTGCAACATCAGTCGCAGCGGTTCCTTAAAGCTCTGCCACCTAGTCGTCCCCAAAGGTTCTGTGTTCGCCAATGCATTTCTCGCCGCCTCGTGGAGCTGGTTACGTCTCGGCGAGTTGATGACGATGTCGAAGGATCCTCCATCTGACTTCGCCGCTGGTACGTCGAGGTTGGCCGTTGGTGCGTGGCGGTTATTCTTGCGAAGCTCTTGCTGGCTTGCGTATAGCGTCTTGAGAAGCTCGTTCTCGCAGCTCTCGAGGGCCGAGTTGAGGTCTGGCAGCAGCGTGACTTCGATGTCGTCATCTCCTAGTAGTCCCACCTGCCTCAAGTTTCTGCCAACTTCACTCTCCGCATCCTTCCCGCTGATAACAAGAATGATGCCCTTGTTGTCAAGCAATCTGCTGATGGTATTGAAAGCCTCACCAGCAGAGTAGTCCAGGCCTGTAACATGGTACAGGTCGAGGATGAGGTATTTGATGGGCCTCTCAGCAAAGGCTCCGTCGTCGATGAGAGCTCGAATTTTCTCTTCGACGCTGACCACAGTGCCAAAGAAGAGGAAGCCTGTGAGCTTGACGATGTATATTTGTCGACGAACTTCCTGCAGGTAATGGTGCTGCGAGGGGTTTCTGCGCACGGTGGAGCCGACGATCTCGCCCGTGTAGCTTGCTCGCACCGCAGGAACCCTCGATGTCTGAAAGATCAAGGAGACAAACGCTAGTATGATACCCACACCGATACCGATGACAAAGTCGTAGATGCCCATAACGAGGACAATGACGATCACCTGGAAATCATCAGCTTGTTTCTAAAAAACCTAAATCAAGTAGTAACTTACCGTGAGATATTCTGCCAGCTTCAGCTTCTTCCTCGGAAGCCAAACAGCCTCGAGAAGAAGCTCAAATCCCAGGTCAAAAATCAGAGTGCCGACCATCATGATGGGAATGAAGCCTATGATCTTCGGCCCGACAATCATCACACCAAAGGTCAAAGCAGCCAGCATGATACCGGCGAGCCTGCTGTCTCCTCCGGAACGCATGAAGAAAACAGTGTTGGCATAGACGAGGTAGTTTTGGATGCTACCAGCGAGGCCAGAGATGAAGTTGGAAGCGCCGTGAAGCTTCAGCTCGCGATCGAGATCAGCGTTATCTTCGCCTGTCTGCAGCGCAAGGGCCGGGACGTTGATGGGGACATGTAGAATGCCGAAGAAAGTAAGGGCAAGCATGGCGGGAATACACTCCAGCACAGCATCCCATTCGACAAGGTGAAATTCTGAGACATTTGTTAGCGACCGTCCGGATCAGAGAGGGCAGACTAAACGTACTGTACAGCGTATAGAAGTACCACCACGGCTCATCAGCCGGGGGGCCTTCAAAGATCCAGCCATGATCACGGAGGGAATCTGGCTCGAGCGCGTCCAAAGAAAATACAAAGAAGTAGAAGACAATCGGAATGGAAATGATGTACAGCGGCAAGAAGTACTTTGACGCTCCCTTGGCCTGGCTGTAGAAGAGGATTATGGCCAGGATGAGGGGGGTTACCCAGAGAGGAATTGTATCGGTCTGGAAGAGCTTGTGGAGGGTATCGAGGTCGTATTCGAGGCTACCGTCCATGCGGGCTGACACCTCGAAGCCTGTAGCAACCAGGAACCAGCCAACACCGCCGATGCAGCCAATCAGAATGTGGCGCGGGATGAAGCCAACCATGTACCCGAAGTTGAACTTGCCCATGAGGTAGAAGACAGTTCCTGTCATCATTGAGCTAATCGCATAAGAGACGATAGTCGTCGCGATCACAGCATCAGGCTGATCCTGGCCAATGTGGTTGGTGATCGTTTCGGCCATGTTGTGGAAGAATGGCACGACTTCGATCTGAGGTTCTGTTAATCAAGTCTTGGCATTTGGTCGAAGTGGTTCTACTTACAAGTTCGGAGCCAACACCACCCTTGAAAATACTGCCAAATGAAAACGTCAATTGCGAGACAATGGTGCTGACATAGAAGATCGAAATGCCAGCCGAGCCGAGACCGGCAAAAATAGGCTTGCCAAGAGGGAAGAGAATCATGCCTGTAACAGTCAGTTAAGTTTGTACTCCAACTTGACTTACACCAGACTTACCGTAAGACAAAGCATCGAGTACATTCAGCAACAAACCCACAATGACAGCGGGCAAACACGACACTGGCGCAACCACGGCATTCTGCCATAGAACTTTGCGATCCCAAATTTTGGGGCTTGTCGCGATTTGGACGCCATGGACAATGTGATCCTCGACGTTGACCGTCAGGTCCTTCAAGCCTCGGAACCAATGCTTTTTGGGCATTTGTTTTTGTCCCTCAACGTCGACCCCATTGGTGCTCCCATCTGTGCTGAAGCTGTCGGAGGATAGCCTCGGTATCAACGGGGTGCGCTCGGTCGGTTCCTCCACAACAGCCTCGTACAAACGCTGCACCTCCGGCTCCGGCTCGGGTCTTTCTCTGGACGGCGATCGCTTCGGCTTCGGTTCATCGACTTCCGAGTGGGACTGCTGGGAGTGAGGTCGAGCGTCAGGAGAGGGTTCGCGGTGCGATTGCGGCGGTGATCTCTTCAGCAAGCTCGTCAGGATTGAGGGGCCGTCCTCGGGAATTTCCTCCTCCCCTTCCTCTGGCGATGCCGGCTCAGAAACCTCCTGAATGGTATCGGAGCTGGTGACGTGCGCGCTTCCCACATCATCCTCCTCGTTGTCTGAAATGGCGGTCTCTCGCGCGAGTTGTGAATTCTGGGAGCGTTGGCGGGAGAGGAACGCCGGGCTCTGGCCCGTCTTCTTGTCCGATAGGAGGTACGAGGCGAGCTCTGCCGTATCTTCGCGAACGCTGCGGGCGTACTGGGCACTGTCGACGGGAGCTGGCGATCAAGAGTTAGCTGTGGCGTCGGGTATGAAGATCGCGCCGGCCGGGGGTTGCTTGCCTAGGTGGTCCCTCAAGGTGC